AGTAGCGAACTGGGGGTCATTTTGTGGTGCTAGCGCTGATACTTTTACGGTAATCGAGTATACTGATCACAGCGTAGGGCTTACGCAAGGCAATGCCCCAAGCTCGCCTTAGTAATGAGGGATACGTGTCCCCAGCTTGCTGGGGTGCAAGCCGTTCATGTGTGTAAATAAGCGTTTCGCTTTTGAGCTGTGAATGTTTTGCAAGTCCTTGCAAATTGGGTAATGAGCAGCTTTCAGGCCACTAGCGGCGTACATTAGCACATTTTGAGAAACCTTCGGTGGCGGTAAACAAGTCCCCAACAAGTGTAGCATAAACCCAAGAAAAAAACCTAAAAAAAAAAACAAAAAAACCTAAGGATCAAGGAAGTCAACCTAGCACTTCTAAAGGGTAGCAACAATATCGTGGTGCAGAAGGAAGTTCTCAGAACTGCTTAAGAGAAGGAGGCATTTAAAGGGTTTTTTAAGCAACGCTGGGATTACTGCAGCATGAAACCCCTTTCGTACCTGGAAAGATTGGTAACCATCCCCAGGAGATCATCGCCCTGTCAAGCTTAGGCAAAGGTCCTCATCTCCTTTACGAAGCCCCAGTGTTGCAAAATAAATCTTCCAAATGCTCACTTGGGCGAAAAAAATATCGGGCTGCATTAGTAACATGTACGCGAATCGGCTTGGCGGGAGCACCACTAACTAGCGAAGTTGTTCAAGCGAACTTGTGGACTTAAGGGTTGGGAATAGTCAACAGGGGTTTTAACACTTTCATAGCGACAGCTTTGGCAAGAAAGAGCTCTACACTAGAGTGGCAATGCTTGCTCCAAAGCCCAGGAAGAACCACATTCCTCTTCGGTAACCCACTCTGAAAAACTGTCAACTTCAAGAGATAAAGGCGATTCGGAGGCAAACTCGTTTTCGCACAAGCCAAAGGGGTTATGATTCAGAATGTGGCGTGACATTGGCAAATTCACGAGCCCTCTTTGAATTTTTTTCATCTACCACTAACCCACCTCTTCGGTATTCTGAATCACCCAAGAAGTCAAAGAACGAGTGAGACCAAGGCTCATCAGTGAGATCACAGCTCGGCTTCATTTCCTGGTAAGTACAACTGCAGTAAAACTTGCAGCTGCTCCGGCATTTCGAGGGCACGTCCTGCCGATGTAGTAGATTCTGGAAAATACATCCCTCCTATCTCGGAGCCTCCTCCTCTAGATCCCTTCCCCTCCGTGTTAATTTTTCCGGAGCTTTTTGTTCTCCGGGGATTCTACGGTTTTTTTGCTTACTGGCCGTCGAGCTAGGGGTTGGTGCTGGGGGTCAGTAGAAATTGGTACGCTCGACCTCGTTAATGACTTGTCTCGCACCTATGATTCGAGGCATAATTAGCGAGGTGCGAAGCGACCTCATTAAGCCGAGGCACGTTAGCCGAGGCGGGCACGAGCTTCCAAAATCGGCACAAATCGAGTGAAAACTCCCAACAGATTAAGGTTAAGGCTTACGAAAAAAAAAAAAGATTGAGGTGAAGGCTTACGAAAAAGTAGTACGATAAGGTAGTGCTACCTGTCAACTGAATAGAATGGTATAATGCGTAGCTTTTAACTAACCAATATTCAAGTAATCGATAGAAAAAAAATGTAAATCCGATCATTCAAGAGTTCATGACGAGAAGCTTCAAGAAGATCTCGTGGAAACCCATACGCTTACGAAGTGCATTCAAAACTATATGATACATATTTATTCGATTTGCATACTTGTTTTGTTTGAATAGGTTTGTAATAAATAGAATAATATAATAATATATTAATATATGAAATAATAACAATAACTAATAAAATAGCTGGAATATATAGCAAACCTTTTTACCCACTTCACCGAAAATTTTCAATGGATTCGTGCCTGGATAGCTCAATACTTCTCCTCTTACCGGGGCCAGCCGAAGTTAGCGCGACGTGCCTCGGCTTAATGAGGTCGCTTCGCACCTCGCTAATTATGCCTCGAATATAGGTGCGAGACAAGTCATTAACGAGGTCAAGCGTACCAATTTCTACCTACCCGTGCTGGGCCGAGGCTGTATAGCGCACTTCAAATTGGAACCGAGAAAAATCAACAACCGAAAACACTACCAAAATGTAACGAACCTTGCCCTCTCCCCGCCCCCCCCCCGGCGCGAGGTTGCCCTGGGGTGTTTCAAACATATTGGAACGCAGAAGTACCGCTATGATGAGGCTGAAAATGTCCCTGACGCGTAACGATGAGTTCAAGTGCAAAGGCCGCCATTCAACCAGCCACACGACGAGGTTGAGATACGATGATGAGAGATTGGTGTCGGCCCGCCCAAAGTCTTAGTCACTCGAGTATCGATTGATTGCTTTCTGACGCCTGGAAATTCTCAATTAGAACCTATCTGAAAACAATACTCAAAGCGAGAATTCGGCAATTCGAGGAGTCGTGAAAAGCCGATCAGAAAATATGAGCTTGAGAAACTCTCCATGCTTCTAGGAGTTCCTCAACATATGAAGAGCTTCTGGCCTTCTGATCATGAATCCATGGGTGAGTTGATGGTTCAGCTAAAAAACAGCCTGTGAAAAAGCTGAGCTGCCGCTGGAAGACGCGGTCAATGAGAAATCAATTGTTGAAACAAATTGTTTCCATCAGGGGTAGGCCGCTGAAGCGTTACTTGGAGGGGGCGGGTGGGGACTCAACAGCGCCTCCTTATCCCTTCCTCTACTCCTCAATGGGGGCTTTCAGGAGAAAATGTCTGCTCTGGGCACTATCTCTCGGCAACTTTAATGGCCTGCGTTTTAAGCCTAATTCTTTTGGGGGAAAGAAAAAGGATTAGAGGTCAAATGGACTCCCCAGCCACAGTAGTGCCAGCAGCTGTTCACCTTCAGGTCTGAACCATCGGCTATAGTAGTGTTCATGGCGAGAGAGAAAAAACAAAAAAACTTTTCCCTGACTAGGAGAATTAAAGATATCAGCTAGTTGCGTTGCCGTGGTTTCAGCGAACCATGGAGGGACTCTGAGAAGCTCCAAGCGATCAAGCTAGCTAATAACTCAAAAACTTTACCACAATCTGCAGGTAACCTAGCATATTAACTAGCTGCACTACAAAAAAAACTTCGAAGCTTACAGCTACAGCTTGATTCTACAGCGGTTCAGTTCGGCCAATGCAAGGATACAAAGTCAGAAGAATCCTTAGGCCACCCCAATGTGTCTCGCCTAGTGGTTACGCAATCAGCAAACAAAACAACTCTAATTGGAGTGGCAGCCATGAAAACAAACAAACTGCAGGCAAAGATTAAAAACGCGCTCCGTTGCAAAGCTCTGCGACGGTCCTTTAATGTTTTGAGCAAATTTTGCTGGGCTGCGAAAACCTTGGTGCTTTTGGAGTTGGTGGATCTTGCGCAGGTGCTAAGGGATGAACCGCCTACTAGGGAGCCAAATATTGAAGGTGAGTCCTCAAATACCTACTTTTTGTTATTTTTTGAAGCGATTTGATGAGGTTCAAGCTTGCATCACAATCGGTTTTTGAAAGGTGGGCAATACCTCGAAGGAATTCTGCTATGGGTTTACTAAATGAGTTCTATTTAGCCAGCAGTTAGGTGGCAATCTGCTTTGAAAGCTCCTCGCAACGTATTCTTTCCCGAAACAGTCGTCACAACATTGCCAAGTGGATTTCGTGTAGCTACAGAAGACACTAAAATCCCTACAGCTACGGTAAGTAGTGACTAATTTTTGCGATATTTGATCCTTATTCATTTGATCATTTCTATATGGCTGCCTTGCTGGCCATTTGATTGTCAAAGCAATCTCTTCCTGGACTGTGGCGTGGCACCTTAGGTATCGGCATGAGGCGGACCCATTTGGTGAGGGTCACCCCACTCTACTTTTGCCACGCTTTGAGTAAGACGTCCAGTCACTCTCCTGTCTATCTCGGTGGAAGCGTCCATTAATTTTCTTGCTTTAGAGCATGACAGGCAAAATTCTTTATTATTCATATCTAGCCCAAACTGGAGAGTCGCCTATTCGAGAGAATACGTGAAAATGGCCAGATACGAATTGATATAGCCACTTATTCACATGGGCCTTGTCGGCACAGTTAATTCTCATGTAATGTATTGATGGGTTCTCTCAGTTCTCGAATTCGATGCTAGCATGTTCCTTTTCCACGAGCTCTCGGAGTCTTCAAAGGTGTATTGTGTGAACGCGATGTAAGCAAGGCGTCTCAATTATCGATGAGGCAAAACCTCATCGTAGTAGTCCGAACAGTCTTTTTTCACCGTTTATTATTCACCGAGTTTTGATTGAGATATTCATTACTGACCCTTGCGCAGTTCGCCAACAATGTGCTGAACTCACGCAAGCTCTTGTAAAGCCAAGTATGTGAAAAGTTCCGTTTTCAAACCATTTTTCACGTAAGTTAGCTTGGAAAGGGAATTTTCACAGTTTCGTACTCGTGCGAATCTGTAATCCGGAGCGGATTTTGTCGCGTGACTAGAAATAGTAGGTTGTGGGGCTCAAATTCTAATAAGAAGGTGATAGCTCAGTGAAAAAAAGCAGAATTTGGAGGAGTACTCCTCTCGCTTCATCTCTTATGTCTACCCGTCCAGAATTTGGAGAGATAAAAAAATACGCACCAGTGCGCCTTCATAGTGAACGTCGGGTGTGGTTAGAGGTAAGAGGCGGAGCATACCCTTTGGTACGATCTGGTGACGTCGTCATCACGTATTTTTGAGACATGAAAGATCCATCCTCTGCACTTACCGGAATACTCATCCTAATACGGCGTTTGTAGACCAAACGAACACGGAACGCGCCTTCAAGTGAATTTAATGAACTACTACGGCCTACGATATGCCTGAGTGCCTACTGGATGGTTCTCACTGTAACACTGTCGCATGTAGCGTGTCCATGCAGCGCCTCAAAGTGTACTGTATTGAATAATACGACAATGGGGAAACCCGCCTTGTCTATTTAAGCGCTTGGTTGATATCCTCTTTGCTAAGACTGTTTATTTGTGAGAAACTGGTAAACTGGTTGTACACAGTGAACAACATGTCAGCAAACGTTTACAAATGAGTACTCCTGAAATCAGTGAAATAGTGAGCTGATTGTGGTCTTGTTAGCAATCGGCGTGAGAAATAGTACTGACGGAGAGTCGCGCTACTTGATGTGTGGTATCATGTACTGTTTCAGATTGGTGTTTGGATCGATGCTGGTTCAAGGTATGAAAACGAAAGGAATAACGGAACGGCTCATTTTCTTGAGCATATGGCGTTCAAGGTATGCACCAGTCTTAACAGTGAAGCTTAAAGTGAATGACTCTAAGGTTTTTTTCCTCTAAAGCTTAACTTTGCAGGGAACGTCTCGTCGTACGAGAAATGCGCTAGAGCTGGAAGTGGAAAATATCGGAGCTCATCTAAATGCGTACACTTCACGTGAACAGACTGTTTACTACGCTAAATGTTTCTCTACTGATCTTGAGCAATGTGAGTTCTAACTCTTGTCATAACCTGGATCTGGTTTTAGTTAGACAGGTTACGTTGGAGTGAACGTTCTTCCGAGAGGCCAAGCAGTAGTGACTCCGATGCGGGAGAGGAGTTGTGGGCAGGGTATACCGTCGCGATGAGGAAAATTGCTTGTTCAGTACAACCCTCGTTACATCGTCAATAGACCCGCCAAAGTCTGCCTTCAACTTTCTCATGTACATTTACTAACAGGTTCCCAGAGTTCGTCGACGTCAGGGGACAAACCCCTTCCGGGGAGGAGTCCTTAGCTCGTGACATATAACAGTGATGAAGGGAGGGACAGCATTGTGGAACTTGGAAGAAGCTTTTCTGGGAGGTCCTATTCGATCGAGTTGAAAAGCAAGGTCTTAACGGGTGTTTTGTGCCATACCTCGTGGAACTGGTCTTGGTCTTGAAACTGCACAATGCTTGCTCTCAGTTCTATATTGTATCACTGTTCAAGGTCTCCTAGCTTATCGTATTGTTTCAGCCGTCGACATTCTCTCCGACATTTTGCTGAATAGCAATTTGAATCCTCGTGATATCGAAGCAGAGCGTAGCGTAATTTTACGGGAAATGCAAGAAGTGGAACAAAACTTTCAGGTATGTCTTCAATTATAATACGGCGGAAATCACTTGTATCAATCCTGCTATCGTCTTCGTAGAAGCTTAGCACTAGGTGGCACTGATAGACTTCCAACATCATAAACCTACGAGGCAACGTTCATACTTTGTGATGCGATCTGATCGCTCGAATCACATAGTGATTGAGGCTGATCCATACCATACCTAGTGAGGCTGATCCATACACAGTGCACGAACGCTTCCCATTTGAATTATGCCGCTGCTGCGGTGTACCGACTGGTACTGGAGCGCTCTCTGTCATGGTCGCGCGATAAAGCCGTTTGAGCGATCTGAATCTGCATTCCAAGCGATCACCTTGTGTGAACGATACTTTGGCCTAAAGACTATTCCAACCGCAGTACCTCGCAACGAGTCCTTTCCGCCTTGAATTCCAGCATTCTGCCATATGCAGTAGCAGTCCGTTTGTTAGATTGTAGGAGTACCGTTTACAGTCTATTTCACGCTAATGTAGATCACCAGCGTGTCCCTTCCTCCAATCAAGGCTTAGGCTGAGTGAGATTATGCCTGCTCTGCAGGACTGTTTCACAGTGACTCTGGTCTTCAGCGCTCTAAGCCTGATCATTTTTTGGGGAAGGATGCAAAGGCGAGGTCGAATGTCCCCTCCGCCTACGTTAGGCAGCGTTCAGACTTCGCGATGACGCGCTGTAACTCACGTATACGCGCTACCACTGCAATGGCGCCCCAGTGCTAATAAACGTAGCCGCAGACGGGAATTGGTGGCCGCTTGTGTTTCGAGACAGTATGGGATGACAGGAGGATCTTCTGCATTTTCCCCAAAGCCATCTGTCCAGAGCCGATTTGTGCCGGACAGCGTGACGCGTACGCGTACCCTTACACTCCCTCATACTTTCTCAGAACACAAGCAACCGGCGCTGAACATTACCGGTCTGCGGCCGCGCTTGCATCTGTAGTATTGTAATGCGTCATCGCAAAATATGAGCGCTGTCTTAGCGCCGTCTCTTTGAGTGTTTCACCTCAGCGACTGCAGTGAATTTTCCTTTGCTAATTGACGGTTTTTAGGAAGTTGTTTTCGATCATCTTCATACAGGTGTGTTCGCGGGTAATCCGCTGTCAATGACTATACTTGGTCCTGTAGAGAATATCAAGTAAGTGAAAATTTCATTCGTCTCAGTTTGCGACTGCTCCATAAGAAGTGTCATGTTCAGCTCTATTAAACGGAATGATCTCACGGAATATATTCAAACCCATTATCGGTCAGGACGCATGGTACTAAGCGCTGCAGGAGGTGTACGCCATGATGAAGTATTTACTTATTTTCCATGGGTTGAGAGTTATAATCATCTCATTTAGTGTGGTTCATTTTTTGTAGGTTGTACGATTAGCCGAGAAGTATTTTGGTGGTCTCAATCATGGAGATGCGTCGGCTAATTTCCACCCAGCGGTGTACAAACCTTGCCAGGTAAGCTTAGGAATGTGAAACGATTGACATACTCCGTTCCGGCTACTTTTTTCCTTTAGATACATTTACCAGTAGATGGAATGGATTCTATCTATGGTGCAATTGTGGTTGAGGGTGTTTCGTGGACACATGAAGACAACCTGGCGCTGATGGTGGCGAATACTGTAAGGATTTGTTGCCCTCGGCCACTTTTCGAAAGTAAGTGGCTGGATAGTTTCAAATGTTCCAGCTTATTGGTGAATGGGATAGGAGTCGCGGCTTTGGTGTGAACGCTCCGTCGCGGCTAGCTGTCCGCCTTGGTCGAAACGCTGGCGTGCAGTCATTCCAGGCCTTCAACACTTGTTATAAGGTTAGTGTAAGAAAAAAGAAGTGTGATGAGATTCCGTCGGGATCAGGTGTGATATACAATGTTTCCAGTTTTAATTCAGTGACCAAGCCTAGACGCAGATTACTTTTTATAAGCTCTCACACAGATGGTAGGAGGTAATGAGGCACACTCCGCAATTACAAGGCTACCGGTAGTGGGGTTTAAAGACTACTATGTGGGTGCCGATGGACCACCAGTGAAGGAAGGAGTGATTAAGTTGTTGGAAATGCTCAGATTGAGGCTCATTCAATTTTCAGAATTGGGCGAGCATTTGGGTAACTCGGACGGTTATGCTAGGCATTTGTTCGAGAGACCAAGCAACTGCGGGCGACCTCTCAAGCCTCTTGTTCATACCTTGTCAATATGTGGGACGTGCAATCTGATTAGACAAACGTTTAGATGCGAATCGATTGACCCCGCCCATTTGAGACTCGCAGAATCTGCGACCCGGAGCCAATCGATCCACACATGTCTCGGCGATGTCCCCCCCCCCCAGTTGCGGATTCTCCACATTCTCAAAGTATTAATGCAGCCTTAGGTGGCCAGACAATGCTAGACTCTTTTCCAAGGATTGTGCTGTAAGAATGAACATACTCTGAATTCTATAAACACATTTCAACTGCACGGTAATGGCGACTAGTACTGGGAGTATGGTGTTCATAATCATCATGTTCTCTGACAGTAGTCGCAAGATCATCGCGAAGCGATCAAATATGCAGCCGGGTAGATCTTTCAATCTCACGTCTCTACGCGTGTGGTTGTCTTAGGTGCCCGGACATGAATCTTTGAAGTGCAGAATTGCATTTGGATGTGACTTTTGTGCAGTCATTTTTTACGACAAAAATCATCTATTGCGTTTTCTTTTGCAGGACACAGGTCTTATTGGCGTTTATTTTGTCGCAGAAGAATCTGCCAGCGATGCACTAGTTGATGGTGTAGTGGATGAGTGGCGTTGGTTAGCCGATGGTGAGTGATTTTCATGCCCTGACCAGTAACGAACTGCTTTTTGTATTTCCACATCTGTTTGCCAAATAGAAAACACTAGTTCTCATCCTCTGTTCCTAAACTTCAAATTTTACAGTTTGATTATTCAATTAAGAGGTTGACGCCGAGCAAGTGGAGTGTGGAAAGCGGACATTGCTGACAAATCTCTTTGTTGATGCTCGATGGCTCTACACCAATTTGTGAGGACATAGGACGTCAGCTATTGTGCTACGGCCGACGGATTCCTGTACCAGAATTGGAGCTGCGAATTCAGGTTTCTGGAGTTTTGTTTATGCAAGAGTGTGGGTAACGCTATAGATAATCTATGTATCTAATTCCAAATAGAACGCGAATTATATAGGAGTCCTGAAACCTACCTTTGTTGTTGGGAAGCTGAACTGCACGCGCCGCTGGTGTAGCCCAGGTTCGTGCCTATCAAGGGTTAGGAGGCAGCTGTGCGCGCTCCACCGCTACCCGCTGGACGTTTGCAGCCACTGTTTCAGTCCCATTCAGGATGACACTACCTCTGGTCATTACGACAGTCCAGTGACTTGCGGTGAACGGCGCTTGATCACAGAACATCCTCGAAAGCAGTGTTCAGACTTACAATGGTGTCGCGTCGCGCGTGGTGTAAGCTCGGCGACGCCTACAATTGACACAACTATCCTGCAAAGTGCTATAGACGCGAATGCAGAGGCAGGCGGAAATCGACCGGCCGCTTGTGTTTTGAGGAAGAGTTTGGAGGAAGACGAGTGCGCGCGTTGCCTAATCGCGCAGTCTGGTATCGATCGGCACTGACCGCCAGTGCTTTGACAGAGTATAGAAGACAGGGGAGTACCAGATTGTGTGAAGGCAGCGCCTACCATCCTCTTATCCTACACTCTCTCAAAATCCAACTGGCGCTGATTGATTCCCGTCTGTGGCTGCTTTCGCATCTATAGCATTGGGGCTCCCTAGTAGTAGTGGCGCGTTGTCGCGCATCGACGATTAGCGATAATGGGCGGTTGGTGACAGTAAGGAATTCTCGAAGGCAGCGGTCAGACTTCGCATGACCATCGCGGCTCGCGAGGTCTGAACGCTGCCGAGACGCGCGACTAGTCCCTTCCAATCGCGATATGAACATTGCTTAACATGCGATAATGATCGGGAAACCTTCATGTGCTTGGCGGAGACGGGAGACCGGCAAGAGAATTGTAATCTACCGCTCCGCCGCGCGCGGTGATGTTCGCGGCGTTTTCATAACTCGTGTTAACCTGTCGATGAAGCACCGGACTTCATGTAGACCCCGTCATCGTAGACATTCATGACTATTTTCGGTTCTGAATTGCCTGTTGTCGCCATCTACTACCTGGAACCATCGTCATTTGCGGGCGCGATGTCGCACGCGACGCCCACCAGCGCGGTGAATTACGATTCTCTTGTCACATACTCGGCAGGGACGTATCAGAGGACGTCATTCGGGTGCGCGTGTGTGTGACACGTCATCTTCTTAAAAAGAAGGCTTGTGGATTGGAACTGTGGTTTTCTGGGCTGCTCACTTACTCTGTCGAATATATTCCTTACCTTCGTGAAGTGTGGAGGTGGCCCACTGGGGGCATTCCGTGGTTGTCGTTTTTTCCAAATATGGAGGTAGCCTCTTCAGATTCGCTGTAGTACGATTCTTACATGATCAAAAGCTGTGTGAGAGACCTACGTCCTTGCCACCGCCCTCATCGTTGTTTGAAAAGCTTTCCTGATGACATGATCAATGGTTTCCTCGGAGGCTTCCGTCATTACACACTTGTGACGTGCACCCCGTTTTCGACGTAAATATCATGCTGTCATTGTGGTGGGCCCGATTTAAATCAGCGAGGGTGTGAAAATTATGCTCCGAGTCATTACACCATTGGAGAAGGCCAAAAGCCTGCGAGCAAGGACCGATTCCCTCCAGGAAGCTTTTTTCCTGATAGGGGGCCCCAATCATTCGGGGAATCTAAGCACCATTGAGTTCTCCCTCCTATATTACAATTAACTACTGTCTTTGATTTTTTTAAGTCACAAGGCAATGACTTGGTGGGTTGCAAGCTGACATAATCGGTTCGAGAGGAACGTGAAGCATTCTTTCGTAGCGGCTATTGCGGCACAATAGCTCCCAAGTACGGCGCAGTTCGACGACGGGGGTGGGGTGGGGGTGGCGTTTTGCACTTTTGCTACCCATCTACGTGTCGACCTATCTAGACAGCCTCTTCTCGAGTTGACAGGTTTTAACATGATGGCTTGCCTTGTTCCAGCTTCACAAGAGTTCACAGGTTTCGCCAGAGTGAGACTTGTAAACCGGAACTAAGGAAACAGAAGTACTCGAAAATGCCCCTCCCCCGCCGAACTCGTACTGCAACGTGACTGGGGAGTAAAGCTCCATACCCGCTTGGGAAAAACGATAGAGCATAAAGTGTGCAAAATAGGCCCAAAGGTGCCTCCCACGCTCCTAATAGGGACGAATCCACTCGAACACTGCGCTCTTCTAGTTGATGAGCCATCCGAAGACGGCGATGAGGAAGGTGTAGTGGTCCACGTGACTCCGCGCATGCTTTTAATGTGGAATGTGTTTTGAGGGGATGGATCATAATGACTCTTGAAAATGTCCAATATTTAGGCGATAGACGTGGAGACGGTGCGAAATGCATGCAGAAAGACGTTTATGGATGGTCGAGTGGCGACAACAGTTATAGGTGAGAGTGAACAATTTGCATTTTTAATGTTAGCTGTATTTTGAATCCAAGATGCTCAAAGGTAGCCTCTTCCTATGGCTTTTCGATCGCCATCGCTAATATGCAATGTGTTTTTTATTGCGTGTATGGTAAAGTGCTACGGAAATCCATGAGCACTGTTCGGCTTGGGAGGGGCGTTTCCGCTTTCGCTAGTTTCTCCTACTCGTTAGTGTTAAATGACACATCACACCTTGGTGAAATGTGTAGATTCTTGTGAAATGTGGACAAAGCTGCTATTGCATAGCTTAACAGTTTACAGGTCTTCCTGGAAGGATTGTCAGTGATTAATGGGAGCCAGCAAAATGCCCCCACCAAGCCGAACTGCGCCAGTTTATG